GGGGGGGTCTGGAGCCGGGGTTGGGGGTGCCCACCCCCGGAACCCCGGAACCCCGCCGGGGCCCCGGGGCCGGGGCTCGACAACCCTGCTGAGGGGGATGAGATGCGAGCGGGGCCGAGCACCCAGGCGCCAGGGATGAGATCGGAAGAGCCGTGGAGCATGCCCCAGAGTCATGAGGTGAGCAGAGAGGTCAGTGAGGCACCATCATCGCCAGGGTCCCAGAGGAAGAAGAAAAGGTACCAAAGGAGGTCAGATGATCAGTGCTTCTTCTGCAAGCATGGCATACACAGAGCCCTTGAGTGTCCGAAGTTCCTTAAGGATAAGGCAACTGGGAAAGTGACAAAGAGTGGTGAAAGGATGTATGATAGACGAGGTCGAGTGGTAGAGCGGGCTCCAAATGGGGGTAGGGCTCAACTATATAGACAGAACTAGGAGGTCATGAGTGAGTAGGGGCTGGTCCGCCTATATGCCAGTAGGACTAGAGTTCCTTTACACGCAGAGGTCGGATTAGAGGTGTATATAGGCCGAGTGGATTCTAAAGGCGTCCATGTTTGGGTCAACCGGGAATTCTGCCCAGTTGTACGTATATAGGTGGCAGTGCTTGATAGGGTTTGGGTTTCTTTGTGTGTGGTACAATCTAGGAGGTGAGATTGAGTTGTGTGATACCTGTGACTATGTGACTTGCGTTTTAATTCTTGTGGTTCAAAAATTTTATTTATATTTTTGAGTAGGTTCTGAGAATCCATAACACTTGGGACATGAGTTACTCTGCAGAGTGAGACAGTAGACTGAGTATCTGTGGTGTTTTCGAGGCTGGAATTTTATTCCTAAATACATTCTACGAGTTGTATGTTGAGGGCTTGAGTTGAGTGTTTATATTGAGACTTGAGGGAGATATTTTACTCTCGATTATATTTTGACTTCAGATCCTATATGACTTATGTTGTGACGATCACAATCACTCCCGCACGTGTGGCTTTGTCCCAATGTATGATGGCTTTGTGTGAGAGATGTGTAGGATACATCTCATATATTTTGTATCGTATGGATGTGAATACCGCCAACTCTTCGCTATACTTGTGCGACCTGCCTACGGGCGAATGAGAGCGCCGAGTATAAGGGGAGGCAGCGCGGTGGCTTCGTGACAGAAGTGTGAGGACCCTAAGGGGCCTTATGAGTCCATGAGGCTCGAATGCTTACCATGCCGGCTGTTTATGGTTGTGTTGTGGAGGGGACCCATGAGTAGGTCCCTCAGTTTGAGTTGTTTCGTGGGGGAGAAATTGACAATACATGCACTCTACATTACCAAAATACTAGGAAACATCAACACATGAGTTGTGATTTACTCCCAAGTGGAAAAACAAGTAGATGATGAAGATTACAAGTGAAAAAGACAAGATTTGAGCTCTACTACACTAGGACATGAATTGGGATTCACATTGGAGGGGAAAAATGGACAATACATGCACTCTTCATCACCTAAACAATAGGAAACATCAACACATGAGTTGCGATTTACTCCCAAGTGGAAAAACAGGTAGATGATAAAGATTACAAGTGAAAAAGACAAGATTTGAGCTCAACTACATTAGGAGATGAATTGCAATTTACGTAGGAGGTGAAAAATGGACAATACATGCAATCTACATCACCAAAACACTAGGAAACATCAACACATGAGTTGCAATTAAGTCCCAAGTGCAAAAACAGGTACATGATCCAGATTACAAGTGAAAAAGACAAGATTTGAGCTCAACTACTTTAGGAGATGAATTGCGATTCACATAGGAGGGGAGATGTGGACAATACATGCATTCTACATCACCAAAACACTAGGTAACATCAACACATGAGTTGTGATTTATTCCCAAGTTTAAAAACAAGTAGATAATGAAAATTTCAACTGGAAAAGAGAAGATTTGAGCTCAACTACATTAGGAGATGAATTGCGTTTCACATAGGAGGGGAGAACTGAACAATACATGCACTTTACATCACCAAAACACGAGGAAACATCAACACATGAGTTGCAATTTAGTCCCATGTGAAAAAACAAGTACATGATGAAGATGACAAGTGAAACAGACAAGATTAGAGTTCAACTGCACTAGGAGATGAATTGTGATTAACATTGGAGGGGAGAAATGGACAATACATGCACTCTACATCACCAAAGCACTAGGAAACATCATGTAGCGGACTTCCAGTGGGCCTGTGAGACCAGTCCCTTGGCCTGTTCTCACAGGCCTGTGTTTTATTCGGGGCAGTCCAGTCTAGGCCGGTACCTCTGTCGGTACCAGCCAGTCCAGTCCAGTCCCGTTAGTCCGCTGGGGTATACCCCAACCTTTGTCTGTTGTCGAGCTCATTCTTCACTTGCACATTTTGGAGTACGTGCATTGGAGTCTTGCGTGGGGAACTGCGTTGTGCCATCTTGCTCCCCCCCTTCTTCCTCCATATCCATCTTTGTGTCACTAGCGGAGCACCACACCTGGTGGGTCCGCTACATTGGTATGGGAGTGGGAATGGGCCCCGCCCCCACCCACTACACCGCACAGCACGGATATACGGCAAAACCCGACAGTCGGATTTTTGGCTGTTTTTCGGACGTTTTCGGGCGAAAAAAACGGGAAAAACAACGAAAAAAGGTGCTGCAGCAGGAGAGCTCCACGTGGCGGAAAAGGAAGCTGCATCACGACGCCGCCCTACGCGCCCCGCTGCCCTGCCCCGCCCCGCTCCCGGATTTTATATTATCAAGATTCGGGATGCAACTGCTGCCACTGGGGTTTGAACCCATGCACCTGCCGAGCCATGCGCGTGCGAAAGCAACCTCATAACACACTCGCCACAGTGTGTCTATGGCTCTGTAGCGCGGCACACTCGTGTTAAAGAGGTGTCGTGCTGCCTAATTACCCCCCCCCAGCAGCGAGCAGTGAGCAGCAGCGAAGTTGCTATTTACCCCCCCCCCCCCCCCCTCGCGGCTGCTGCTGCCTGTGCACGTGGTCATCTCCGCGGCCACGTGGCAGCCTGTGGTGAGACTGAAGACCCCCCTGCTTAGGGGGCTGCTCTACAGTGGAGAGGGTCTGCTCACACAGCAGACCTTACATCTGGACATCTGCAGAAGTGCTGCTGGAGGCTGATCAAGATCTCAACCCCCCCTCTCTCCTCCAACTGGTTGCTGCAGCAAAGACGAAGACCTTCCTGGTCTTGGCGTATCTTGTGCCCTTGGAGACACCAAGGGCCAGGTATCACTCCTTTCTCCCCTTTCCCTCTACTAACCCACTCTCCTCTTACTCATCCCTTCTCTTTCCCCCACCTTCCACTGCATTTTTTCTCTCCTCCTTTCATCTTCCCCACCCCACCTTTCTCCCACCACCCATTTTTTTACTCTATTTTCTTCATCTCTTCTTTTCTTTCCTTCTTTCTCCTTCTTTCTTGATCCCTGTCCACCTTTCCCCATCCTTCCTCTCCCCCAACTACCTTCCTCTTTATCCTTTTCTCTCCACCCACCTATTTCTTTCTTTTCTCCTTCACTTTTTCATTCCCTTTCCCCCATACTTCGAATTTTTTTTTTCTGTTTTTCTTCTTTCCACCTCTTTTTTGATTCTCTTTTCTCTTTTTCAAAAATTCGAAATCTCTTTTTTCTTACCCTCTTTTCTGATTTTTTGATTCATTTCATTTATTTTTCTATTTATTTTGGAAATTCAATGTTTCCTACGGCAACCCTAAATCTGATTAGTTGTTAGTTTTCTCATCTTCTTCCTCGCCCTCTTTTCTTATTTTCTGATTTATTTTATTTATTTTTATTTATTCTGAAAATTCGAATTTCTTGGCGGCAACCCTAAATCTGATTAGGTGTTAGCCTTTCTTGCTTTCGGCACACGTTTTGGCCCCGTGGGGGTAACGAAGTGCTGCCGAAATTTTCTGATTTTCTCTTACTTAGTTTTTTCGGCACACTTCGACCCCATGGGGGTAGCGAAATGCTGCCAAAATTTTGAAAAATCAGATAACCCATTTCTTCCCACCTCCTCACACATTTATTCATTTATTTATTTATTTATTTCCTGAAATTTCTTTTTATTATTTGAAGCATCTCTAGTGTGCTCACCTTGGTCTCCCCTTTTCCCTTGGCACATTCTTGACCCCGTGGGGGGTAGGGAAATGTTGTCGAAAATTTTAAAAAATAAAAATAAAAAATAAAAATAAAAAATAAAAATAAATAAATAAATAAATAAATTATTAAATAAATAAATAAATATTGTTTTTTCTTTCCATCCTTTTGCTTATTTCTTTAATTAATTTTATTATTTATTTATTTCCTTATTTATTTTTATTTTCTCTCGACATCTCGCTGCTTATTTATTTTTCTCCCGCCTTCCCCCCCCCCTATGCTTGCTCTTTTACTTTTTTGATTAAGTCACCGGTACCCTACCCTAACCACTTAAACCTCGGTTAGGGTTTTCCTTAGGGTTTTTGTAGGGTTTAGGGTTCCTCAAAACCCCCCTACTTCCTCGTCCTCTTCGGGCACCCTGGACCCGAACCACCCCTCCCCCTTTGACGGCGCCCGTGCTAGCCTTGCTAGCGCCGTTCGCCGCTTTCTACCGCGGACTTCCCCCTACGCCCTCCGCTCACGCGGACCTCTTCTGGCCCCCTCCAGTCCGGTCCGTCATCTTCCCATGGCCGACGGTGCGCCACACGCCGCCGACACGGCGATGACCACGGCATCGGGCTCCACACCCGTGCCGGCGGACCAGGGCCATCAGCCCCAGGGGGATCTACACACCCTCCTCACCTCTCTCCTTGCGCCCATCCAGGTGCAACTCGCGACGCTTGCGCCCATCCAGGCGCAACTCGCGGCCCTCGTGCCCTTACAGGCGCAGATGGCGACCCTTGCCGCCGGCATGCAGCAACTCCAGGACGCTGCGTGTCCGTCATCTCCTGGTCCGGGTCCCCCGTCCTCCGACAGGGTGGCCACGGCGGAGCTTCCTCCTCCGTTGCCCCTCACCCGACCATCTTGGTGACTGTCCACGCCCCTAGCACGACGGCCGCCACCCCTCAGACTACGGGCACACCTGCCCAGATCCCGGTCACTACGGCCACGGTACAACAACCCGCTACCATGATCTCAGCTTTTTCGGATGCCCCACTTCTCCCTCCCCTTCGCACGACCGCAGCGCCACCTGGCTCTCCCCCCTCGGGGATGCCCCGCGCCACTTGTGCGTCCACCCCCTCCACGCTTCCTCCCTCCGCCCCTCGATCGACCTACGTTCGAGGTCTCGCGGACGAGATTGCCCAGCTCCGGGCTGACCTCGCCCTCTTACGACTTCAGCCACCCCCACCCTCACAGGTGGCCGCGCCTTCGGGCGCACCCCCTACCTCCTCTACCCTTCCTCCCATGCAGCCTCGCTTTCCACGCCCTGCACCATATACAACTCCTTCCTACCTTCTTCCTACTGCTGCGACCTCTTCTACCGCAGCACCCTCGCAACCTGCCGCTGTTGCCACCGCCGCTCCCCCATGCGGCCCGGGCGCACAGTCGGCTGCGCCCCTTTCCCCAGGACCTGCGCCGACTTACTCAGTCGTGGCACAGGCCTCCGCTCCTCGATCCCCTCGCCGCCAAAACGGTGGCGCACCACTCATCCGCTTGTCAGACATCGCCTTGTATGACGGTACAGGCATACGCGTGTCCAGGTGGCTGCAGTCTGCCACCCGCACACTCCAGCTCATGGGTGCCACACCCGAGACGTGGGTGGGTTACCTCTCCACGCGCCTGCATGGCGGTCCTTTCGAGGTCTGGGAGGATTTATATGCCTACTCCCTTCGTGAGGATCGGACTCCGACCTTCGTGGATTTCCAGGCGTTCCTCGAGGATCGCTTCGGAGCCCGATACGACGTGATTGACACCTTCGAGCGTGTCGTCACTACACGCTGGTCCGGCTCTGGTGGCGTTGCCGGCCTGGATCGCCACATCCAGCTCTTTCAGAACGCCCGCCTTGTTTGCGACGTGGCGTTCCTCCCCGAGGTTGCCCTTATCGATCATTTCTTGGCCAGTGCTCCGCTCGAGTACCGCTCCGAGCTATGGCGGTACGAGTTCACATCGGCCCCACAGGCTTACGAGGCCGCCAGGGGCCATCAGCGGACGCGAGCCCGTCTTCACCCTGCCTCCTCCTCCCAGCCCCAGCGCACAGGCTACGCCTCCTCCTCCTCTCACGGCACTTCCCAGCGCCGTTCCCCTTTCCGCGGTCGCCCCCGCCGTTCCACGCAGCAGGGCCGCCACTTCTGGCGCCGCTTCAGCGCGCTGGAGAATGGTGAGCAGGACGCTGTTGCCCCACTGTCACCTGAGGGCGACCACAGAGACGACCTCGATCTCTGCGAGGCCGTCCACTATCACTTGGAGGACTCTACCCTCCTTGCAGTTGAGCGCCTTCAGCTCGCGCTCTCCGCCCTCTCTCGGGCACGCAGCCACCCTGGTCACGCTGGCACGTCGCCCCCCGAAGTCCCTCAGGAGGACCTCCGTCAGGGCTTCGTCCCTCCTCGTGGTGTCCTTTCCCCTGAGGAGCGTGCGGCTATTCTAGGTCGGCGTGGGTGTTTGCGCTGCCGCTTGGACGGTCGTACCTCCTCGCGGTGCCCTTACACTACCGCCCTCGACCGCCACTACGCTGACCTTTCTCATCAGCGTCGTGCTCAGTCCCCCCCCGACGCCTCATGTCCCCGCGGCGCCTCCTAGCCATGGTGCAGTGTACACCTGCGCCCTCCGCAGTAGTGGGTTTCCTGACATCTCCGTCGCGGTTCGCCCCTCTCGCTACTGGAGTTGAGGTATGGCAGGACTCGACAGAGTGTACTCAGCCCTCTGTCGCAGTACCGTCTGCGCCTCCGCAGACCACCGTCTCCCCTCCTTCCTCGCCGCGACTACCGACGCGTCGAGCCATTCGCTCAGCCCATTGCAGCGAGCAGCTTGCTACTCGCGAGGACGTTGTGTCCTCTCTTCTGGACTTGAGCATGCTCCAGGCTCGTCAGGAGCGACTCACCCTCCATGTCGCTGCACAGAGTCGCCTTCTCGCCATCCTCTCTGACCCTGATCGCACCCTCCCGATCATCCCCAAATGACTCGGGACCTCCACGAGGGTGTACTCAGCGCTGTGGGATTCCGGTTCTCAAGGCGACTTCATTCACCCACGCGTGGTGAAGGAAGCCCGTTTACCCACGACAGGGTTTCCGACTCCCATCTCCGTTACCCTAGGGGATGACAAGACCCAGCGCTTCTTCGATCAGACGGTCACCGACCTCCCCTTCTTCYYCACTCTCGAGCCGAYTRAKCGTTCCCCGGCGTCTCRTCGCCACCGCTCCTCTGCACATTTCGATGTGATGGAGACGGGGTACGACTTCATTCTCGKCWYTCCGTGGTCTCGTCGGTTCCGCMGCACCGAGGCCGATTGGGCGACCAACACTCTCGTTCTCAAAACGAAGTGTGGACAGACGTATCGCGTACCTTTCATAGGTACCACGGCGACACCACGCCTTGCCTTCAGTGCCCACACCATCTCCCTCTATCACTGTCACCTCACCATGGCAGTTCACTCACTTCATTCGACAGGACGACGTCACCTTCTTTATGGTGGACGTGACGGATCTCTTACACTATGATCCACTCTGTCTCGACGCCGAGCTCATCCCTCTGGAGCCAGATCCTCCGTCTATCTCCATGGCTCTCATCTCTACTTCCGTCCCTCCGCCGTCCGTCGAGTCCACCCCGCGGTCGGGCGCTGACGTTGACGCTGAGGAACTCGCACGATATACGGCTCACCTAGAGCCCGCAGTTCGTGACCTCATCCGAGAGTACCACGACGTTTTCCCATCGTCGTTCTTGTACGCCGGCATCCCACCGATGCGGGACGTCGAGCACTCCATTCAGCTTGTGCCTGACTATCGTGTTCACCACCAGGCACCCTACAGACTCTCGATTCCCAAGGCCACTGAACTCAAGCGTCAGCTTGAGGAGCTCCTGAGACTGGGTTTCATTAAACCCAGCAACTCCTCATGGGGTGCACCCGTCCTCTTTGCTCGCAAAGCGGATGGAACTCTCCGTCTCTGCATCGACTATCGCGGTCTCAACCGCTACACGGTTAAGAACAGTTACCCCATGCCTCGTTCCGATGAGTTGTTCGACCGCCTAGCAGGCAACCGCTTCTTTACAAAGATTGATCTTCGTAGCGTTTACCATCAAATCCGCGTCGCTGCAGCCGACCAGCAGAAGACAGCGTTCCGATCGCATTTCGGACACTACGAGTTTATAGTGATGCCATTCGGCCTCACCAATGCACCCGCCACCTTCCAAAGGGCGATGAACGACATCTTCAGGGACATCCTGGAGCAGTACGTTCTCGTCTACCTCGACGATATCCTGGTCTACAGTCGTACCCTTGAGGAGCACCTCAGACACCTCCGCGACGTCCTTGACCGTTTGCGCAGACATGGCTTCTACGCCAAGCTGAGCAAGTGCCGCTTTGCCCAGCACAAAGTGGATTTCTTAGGACACTACGTGTCTGACCAGGGTCTCCACATGGACGACGCGAAGATCACTGCTATTGCGGAGTGGCCCGCCCCCACATCCGCCAAGCAGCTTCGCAGCTTCCTAGGCCTGACCAGCTACTATAATAACTTCATCCGGGGATACGCTAGGTATTCCTATGTCCTTACCTCCACCCTCCTCCGGAAGAACCCACCCTCGGCTTGGACACCCCTCCACGAGGACGCCTTTCGCGCCCTCAAGAAGGCGGTGACATGCGCACCAGTTCTTCACCTACCCGATTTTGATCGCCCTTTTATCCTTACCACCGATGCGTCAGACTTTGTTTTCGGAGCAATACTTTCTTAGGTCTTCCCCTCCTCTCCTGATTCCTCTCATCCTCGTATCCCTCGCTTCCCACCACCTACCCCTACCACTGCTTCCCGACTGACGCCTACTCGTCCAGCTACTTACGAGCCCTCTATTGACTATTCTCCTACCAACGTCGAGGACGGCACTGTCGAGTCTCGCTCAGGTGATTGTCCGATAACCTTCTACTCCCGTCAGCTCCTGCCCACCGAGATAAACTACACTGCTGATGAACGTGAGGTTCTCGCAATAGTTTATGCCGCTCGGCACTGGCGGCACTACCTGCACGAGGCACCATTCACGGTGCGCACGGACAACTCTGTTGTCGAGGCTTTTTTGACTAAGCCGAAGCTCACTCCTCGACAGGCTCGCTGGTGGCGCGACCTATCCGAGTTTAGTTTCACCACTGAGCACATMAAGGGTGAGACTAATCGGGTCGCMGATGCCCTATCCCGGCGCCMTGACCACGACCAGGAGCASAYCCAGCYCTCTTCCATCTCGGTCASCACCGTCCACCMCTCGGTGATCGACGAGTTTCGCACTCAGTACCGCCACTGCCCCGACTATCGCGACATCCACGCGACCCTTCGGAGTGGCAAGACCGTCCCGAACTACTCTCTCGGGGACAATGGTCTTGTGTACTGGCACGGTTTACAGGGCACCAGAGAGCCCCGTATTTGCGTTCCCTCCATTGGACAGCCACGTGTCCGAGCAGTAGCCGAGTTCCATAACCAGGCAGTTGCCGGTCATATGGGCTTCCACAAGACGTTGGCTCGTGTGAGCCGCCTGTACGTCTGGCCGAAGCGCAAGGACTTTGTGAAGGACTACGTCGCAGAGAGTCCCACCTGTCAGGAGGTGAACAGTGCGAACCACCTGCCTTATGGTTTGCTCCAGCCTCTTCCTATCCCTGAGGGTCGTTGGCAGTCCATCTCGATGGACTTTATCGGTCCTCTTCGTCCTCCGACTCCTCACGGACATGATGCTATCCTGGTCGTCGTCGATCGCTTCACGAAGCGTGCACGCTTTGTTCCGTGCCGCTATGCCATCAGTGCACGTGAGGTCGCCGACATCGTGTTTGACCGAGTCGTGCGTGACCACGGCTTACCTCTGAGCATCATATCTGACCGTGACCCGCGGTTTACCAGTCGATTCTGGCGACGACTCCACGAGGTATACGGCACTCAGCTCCGCTTCTCCTCGTCTTACCATCCTCAGACTGATGGTCAGACCGAGATCACGAACAGGACTCTCGAAGATATTCTTCGAAAGATTGTTCGTAACGACCAGCAGTGGGATCTTCATCTTGCCCACGCGGAGATAGCCTACAACCACGCCGTCTCGCCAGCCATGGGGATGTCGCCTTACTATTGCGACCTCGGCTATCACCCTCGTGTTCCTGCGGACTTCCTTCGACCGTCACAGATGCACCCCGACACGAGTTGTCCCGCGCTGGATGATTGGGTTGCACACATGACGTCGATCATGAAGACCGCACATGAGCACATAGCCGCTTCCCAGACTCGCATGGCAGCACGTGCGAACCGATCGAGGATGGACCATCCATTCAAAGTCGGTGATGATGTGCTTATCGACGCCCGCCACTTACAGCTCGAAGCGGACACGCTTTGCAAGTTTCGGCGTCACTTCTTTGGCCCATGCCGCATCCTCTAGGTCGTCGGTTCTGATACGGCATCTAGCCCGGTCAGCTTTCGTGTGAAGTTGTCCGACTACCTACGCCAGGCTCGTGTGCATGATGTCTACCACGTCTCGTTACTGCGTCCTTACCGCAGACCGTCCGAGCGTTTCACTGGACGACCATACGAGCGCCCTCCACCCCTCATGGTGGACGGCCACGAGGAGTTCCTCGTTTCAGACATCATTGGTCGCCGAGTCACCGACGACAACCCTCCCCACGTCGAGTATCTCGTACGTTGGAAGGATTACCCTGATGAGGAGGCTACCTGGGAGTCCCTCGAGCACTTGCAGCACGCTCGCATGTTGGTGCGTGCCTATTACCGTGCCCGTCGTGTTGGGTTCAATGCTCCTCCTCAGCCCACTGACCCTCCTCCTTCTCCCCCGGCTAGGGAGACCGCTGAAGTCGAGCCTGCTTTATTTGAGGCAGACCTTCAGCAGCAGCCGGATGCTTCTGAGCGTCCACAGCGCACTCGTCGTCGTCCTACTCGATACGACGACTGACTCCGACTTACCTTCCCACGTCCTTGACTTCTCAGTACTCCATCCACTCCAGTTTTGCTACTTCAGCTCGTCGACGTTACGACTCTTCCTCGACGGCATTCCGGACTTCTCATCGTGGACGTCATCGGCAGCTTCATGGACTTCATCACGATCAGCTCTGCCTACTTCAGACGTCACCACTCTCTTACCACTCTACCCTGTACAGTACCCTGCCTGTGTCGCATGATGGTCTCCCTTTAGCCGGGTTCCTCTTAGTTGGGCTCTCCCTTGGTATACGCATAGGCATCGGGACCGTAGCGTTGCCCTGGCTTCCCATCTTACGGATCTAGCTCCGACTTCCCCACCTTAGGAGTCATCTGCATGATTATCTTATCCATCACCTTTCTACCCTCTGCCGGCCCTCACGCCCTAGTTAGGCAGCCCCGCATGCTTCATCTAGGTGCGCCTAGTATACCAGGCTCCCTTGTTCCCGTGCATGGTCGACCCTCCATAGCGGTCACCCCTTAGCCGAGCTTTACCCGCCCTGATGGTCTATTTGTTAGGGTCATTGGTTCTGTTCGCTCCCAGTTCCCTACCCTCATTGAACCTCAGGACATGCGTCTCCCTATTATCTATGTGTGGATGCCCTTAGGAGTTTTCGACCCCTAGGCTGCATTCGCCACACTCAGAGACCATCCCACCCTTTGGTTTGCGACACACTTCTCATGTGACATATGATTGACTTGTTGTTGCTTTGTGGCTCTCAGACTTAGGCTACTGCCTCTGACATTTCTAGGATTTAGTTGTTCTGCTTTTGCTGTTCTTAGGACTTATACACTAGTCAGTTGTTCCCAGACTGAGGCTACTGCCTCCAACATTCAAGGATTTAGTTGTCACTACTTTCTGCTTTCCTAGGACATGTATGCTAGTTAGTTGTTTTTCCCTTTACTTAGGCTGTTAGCTATGACATTGTTGTTTTGTGACATTTTATATCCTAGGTTGCATCGCATGGATCAACATGGAGCTTGCTCTGCATCCTAGACTACTAAGGTTTCTTTTCTTTGGTAGAGTTCCGCTTTTTGGCGGAAGCGTGCTTGTATCTAGGCGTTCCATCCCAGGCCGAGGATCGTGTAGCGGACCTCCGGTGGGCATGTGACACCAGCCCCTTAGCCTGTTCTCACAGCCCTGTGTTTTATTCGGGGCAGTCCAGTCCAGACCGGTACCTCTGTCGGTACCAGCCAGTCCAGTCCAGTATCGTCAGTCCGCTGGGGTATACCCTAGCCTTTGTCTGTTTTCGAGCTCATTCTTCACTTGCACATTTTGGAGTACGTGCGTTGGAGTCTTGCGTGAGGAGCTGCGTTGTGCCATCTCGCTCCCCCCCTTCTTCCTCTATATCCATCTCTGTATCACTAGCGGAGCACCACACCTGGTGGGTCCGCTACACATCAACACATGAGTTGCGATTTACTCCCAAATGAAAAAACAAGTAGATGAAGATTACAAGTGAAAAAGAGAAAAATTTGGGTTCAGCTACACTAGGAGATGAATTGCAATTCACATAGGAGGGGAGAAATGAATAATACATGCAGTCTACATTACCAAAACACTAAGAAACATCAATACATGAGTTGCGATTTACTCCCAAGTAAAAAAAACAAGTACATGATGAAGATCACAAGTGAAAAAGACAAGATTTGAGCTCTACTACACTAGGAGATGAATTGTGATTCACATAAGACAGGAGATATGAACAATACATGCGCTCTACATCACCAAAATAATAGGAAACATCAACACATGAGTTGCGATTTACTCCCAAGTGAAAAAAACAAGTAGATCATGAAGATCACCAGTAAAAAAGACAAGATTAGAGCTCAACGACACATGGAGATCAATTGCGATTCACATAGGAGGGGAGAAATGGACAATACATGCACTCTGCATTACCAAAACACTAGGAAACATCAACACATGAGTTGTGATTTACTCCCAAGTGGAAAAAGAGTAGATTATGAGCTCAACTGCACTAGGAGATGAATTGCGATTCACATAGGAGGGGAGAAATGGACAATACATGCACTCT